TTCCATACTTTTGCACAGGGAGGACAGAGAGTATTGCAGCGAGTAGTTGTATGGTTCGAATGGCAATTTTTATGGGATACTATTATCCTCCATTATTACATTATTATCCTCCATTGATTGATAATAACCGAGATTAGCTGATTCTTCGAGTAAAAATGAACCGGGAATGTGTAACGAAATTTGTTCACGCGAGGTTCCGTTTTCATAAAAAATTGATTTTAAAGACACTCGGTGCGTGTCTGTCCACTGCTGTCTGGTTCTACTTATGGGCGGTGTTTGTAAGCATCCATGGCGTAAGTAGACTTTAATATCTTCTAATTAATTGGAATGAGTAAATACAGTCGCAAGTCTTGATCGATAGAGTGCAGACTTTAAGGCAAGTAGATACAGCCAGCATAGATCAGACACTCCATCGTACCCCGAGAATGTTCAACTCCAATTTTCTCCAAAACTCCACCTCGTATGAAGAAACAACATTGCGCATTTCCAATTCCGTTTTACACAAAGAATCTGATTCTTTTCCATTTTCCGAATTTAATTACTTGTGTTGACAGTGAAGTAATCTTAGCTTGACACCAAAGCTTGGAACCTCCAGAGTACCTATTCCAAAGAATTAAAAAAACTCGAAAACGCCACACCAAAGGGTTCCTTAACACTCTTGTTCCTTAGAGCGTTCATTGAAATAAGAAACCCCGAATGGTACTAGCCACCCTCATTCCCCTTCGACCCAGAATCGACCTCTGTTTCTCCTCGGAGCAAGTTTCGTCGCGCGGGATCCTTTGGGCGAGCTGCAATGCAATTTTTACGGGATACTTGGACCACGGTTTCGGTCAGAGTCATGCGGGAACCCGCATTGCAGATTTCCCAACAGTTGCCGAACAATGCCGGCCCACCCAGCGATAAACCGGCGGGCTGATAACGTTCGAGGAACGTCTTAATTTCATGCATTGAGAACGGATCGATGCTCGGGGCTCTCGGTTACCCCATAAAGCCGGCTACGGTTTGTTTCCGTGCACGGGGTTTACAGCTCCCCGAGGAATCGTCGCGCTCGCCGCCAAACGAAAGGAACGAGCCAGCCTCCACTGGACTACTCGTTCCTCCAGTTCCCAGAAACGCGACATTTAGCAGCGTGAGATGTCGTAAAGCGTCGTGTTGCTACTGACTTGGTCGCGTGGACGGAATAGCGTGAAACGAGGTGATGGTTTCAGTTGATGGCTTTAAGGAAACGTACACACGTAGTACAACGTACAACTCTTGCGGGCTTGGAATTTATTTGGTAATTAGTTTTAGGCTAGGTTCGTACGAGAGCGCTTCGGTTGTTTCTTACATCTCGTAAAGTGAAACATTTTGTCGGTAATGTACTGCATCGCGTCGGTAAGAGTAGTAGAAAGTGTTATCGACAGTTTGCTCTACGTTACCAGTAGTGCTGGCCGCTTTATCGATCCCATCCTCTAGTTTACCGAGCGTTACCGACAGAACACCTCTTCTGCCATCTTCCACGAACCTCCACCATCGTTTGCAAATAAATTCCCCGTTGCTATAACGCTGTAACTTAAATTTCCCTTCGTCCCAAATGAATGTAATTCATCCTCAAATATCGAGACTTTCGAATCTACCTCACAGCAGAGTTATAGGGTTCAGATAGAGAAAATCGGAGGAAAGGTATCGAGCCATGAGAGAAGGTCTCGTCGCAGGACCACTTTGATCGTAAACTCAAAGAAACGGAGGTGCTCGCGCGTCGAGAACAACCCTCTTCAGCAGTTGATTAAACCTCGCGCGCGAGGTTGAACCTCGACGGAGTTTCCCTAGAGTTCTCATGGCGGATACGAAAACGAGGGTATTCGACGCGGAGTCAGCTTTTCGTGCCCGTCGAAGCGTGACTGGTTAAAGCAGGCGCTCGTCGATTCTGGGGCCCAGGCTCCCGAAGGTCGGCGTTCGTCGTCGCGACGAAACGAAACGCTGAAAAAGAGGATGCCCAGGGACCAACGCAACCGGAAGTAAAAAGAGGGAGCAGGCGGCGACGCAGAAGTGCCGTCAAGTGGAATGCAAGGCGATGCAAACTCTTCTTGCTCACGGTTGCTTGCCTCGAGCCCCACCCTCTTGCACCTTTCGCGAGTAACCCTTTCATTTCGTGACGGCTTTTTACCTTCCCCTTGGACGCCCTCTTCGGTACGGTATGTTTTATTCCCTCTTGGACCTCGTGAATTGTTTACCTATATTTTGTCACATTCTCGCCAGATGGATCGATTCTGCAGTGATCAATTCGGGTCCAAAAAATCAGGTATCCATTTTGATTCGTTCCTAATTAAACGAGATTTAGACGAAGAAATCGTAGAGGAAGAAATTTTCTATTTTCTTGTGAATTTTAGTCTTTTTGTCGTTCAGGGAGATAAATTTTCCCGGGCGGGTGTTCGGAAATAATTCCAGTCCGAACATCCCTTTCGACCCCTCTGCTCTGGGATTTCATCTTTCTTCGGGCGTCCATCGTCTCGATTTCCTTTTTACCATGGCGAGCACGCTCTGATCGGAGAATGAAAAGTACGACGTTACGTGCTCGGTTATTCGCGGTCTGGCTCAATGCATTCTTTGCCCGTCGCCCCGTCGATTCTTTCCTTTTCCCGCGTTTTTAGTCGCTCGCACGGCCAGCGGCGCACCCAACGAGGGCGCCGGGGACTATTTACATCCATCTGTCGCAAATTTCTAGCCATAATTCCATGCCTAGATTGGACCAAATTTTTGATACAATAGATTCACGAATAACGGTGGATATCTCTTTGGCAATTGTCTGCTACGATAAAGAACAACCTGCCCAAGTTTTCCTGGTATATACTCGATGTTCGCAAAAATTTCGAAAAATATTTCAAACGAAACTCGAAGCGGGTTGAATTCCGCGCGAAAAAGTTAAATAAAGTTTCCCATTATCTTTCCTGATAGACGCGCGAGGTGTCGCAGAGTGTCCCGGTGTATGTTAATTTTCAGTTGCACCCTGTCGTTGAATCCCTAGTCGCGTCACTACCCACCCACCCTTTTTTCGCCTGTCGTTTTTCCACGAGTTCCTCCGCGCTATTTTTCTCCTTCTACGTTTACCCGCCGCTGAGAATGTCCCTACGACCGCACGTATGTACTCCGTTCGTGATTTCTCCCACGACGTCGTTCCCTCGATAACGTCCGTCACGTTCTCTCCCGTAGCTACGAACGTTTTTCCTTCGACTACCATTCACCCACCCCTCGTATTATATCAGGATAAAACGGAAGGTGGGATCGGGGGTCGAGTGCTGGATCACCGGTGGTGCGGGGAGTAGATCTCTTGAGCTGGGTCCTCGAGAGCTTTAGGAATTATTTATTTCAGACGTATACTCTCATTGCCAAGCATTTTATAGTCCAATCATTTTTCCTTCTTTAGTGACGATTCCCTTTGTTATCGTGTTGTCGATATTCCACGCGCGGGATAACGTTCGAGGAACGGGTATTTGAGAATTATTATTTCAGATATTTACTCTCCAGGTGTTTTATATGCAAATAGTTTTCCCTTATTTGATGAACATTTTTTATCCGGATAATTGGAAATGGAACAAGTGAAAGCAAGAAGAAACGATAGGAAAGCTAGGAAATTATATATCTGTTTCTGTAATATTCTCCATGAATTGCATTACGGAAACCGACATTTAAAAAAAAAGCATAAGCTATAGATGAAACAGAATAAACCTAGTAGTAGAAAAGAAATGTTCGATTGCACATACATCAAGTTTATATTTCCGCGTGGAATATCAGCCTGTCCCAGCTGGTATCAGCGTGTTTATCTCCCTACATGGAATTACCGTCGACGAAACCAGAAATGGAGAAGTCACTCGTTCCACCAATTTCAAATGCAATCATTTCTGCCGCACTTCTCGTTTTCATATCTCCCCATTTTCTATGCAGCGACGGCGGCACACGAGTTGTAACATCCACGCTGCCGGAAAGCGACAGCCGGTATATATATATATATATATATATATATATATATATATATATATATATATATATATATTTCCTTCCAGGACTCGCGTGTTTCTTCCTGTTTCTTTCGGTTGTACGCGACTCGCGAAACATCCTGCCACTCTTTCTCTGTTCGAGACGCTGCTTTCACCGACCGGTTGCCTTGTGTAATTGTTAATTAAGGGAGATAGGAGAGGGCGAGAGGGGAGCTTGTGGTTTACAGCGTGGAAGACGAATTTTGCAGGGGTGGTTCAGAAGGGAGAACGAAATTGTAATTATAAGCGAAAGACAGTGGTGCTAGTGAATGGAGGGGAAAATTTTAAGCGAGACTATGCACATCGGTATTATTCATAAATTAATAAGGTAAGAATTGCAGATAATTTTTTTGCGAAGTATTGTACCACACAATTTTACCTAATTATCGAGGAAAATGGAAAACTTCGCAGGTGGTCGAAAGGTCTGAGAAACTAAAAAATGGAAACCTATAATTTTTCTAATCTACTCTATTCGATTCTTTACGTTGTCAGGTCACGATAGGAAGAATCAGCATGCTAATCGACGCAGTTAAATGCTACAAACGTTTCAGCGATAACGAAAAAGTGGTTGACAGTTGGAAGCCAAAGTTCCTTTCACGCACCCACGCTAAGAACTCGTGTTTGATGAGAACCGAACACGCACACGGAACACGAGCCCTTAAGCAGTTTGCCAAGTGTAAATAATATCCCAAGTTTGCGCGAGTTTCGACGCGAAATCCTGGAAGGCAGAAATCTGGGCGTATTCGACAACTGTCTAATCATATTCAACTTGTTGTAGCCTGGGTGATTAGTTTTTAAGAAACGAGGATTGCCTCCTGAGATCGATACATTCTGTTAGAATTAAAGATAGCTCTGTATTTTATATCAGTTATTTTTAAAAAAAGTTTCAATCGTGAATCATATGTCTGACGAGGGTAAGGCCAGAAAGCAATCTCTCGAGCACCAAAAATCACAATGTTTTCCGTCGACAACGTCAGCGTCACTCACCTAACTGCTGGAACGTAAGTCGGGCCGGACGAGGCTGGCAGAAATCTGAAACAATACAAGAGAACCCCGAATTATATTACTGCGGATGTCTCGCGATATTCTCAGGCAATTTTCAAATGCATCCAGAGTTACGAAACAGATGGATTTGAAAATTCACTGACTTAAACTGATTTAACAAATTTACATACTCGAATCCACTGATTGCTTCATTTGGCATACATTGATATTAATTAAATTAGACACTCGAATCCTTTCGTATTCAACGTATCATTTAACCACCCTAAACTACGACATTTGAAGACCCATCTCAATAAATTTCAAATTTACGTACTGAAACTCGATAAAATTCGTTACTTAAGCAACTACTCAATCCCCTCTCCGACACTTACTTAATCATACTCTCCCGCGAACAACCTGCTTCAAACAATCCTAAGGGTTAATCACCCGAAGAAATTTGTCGAGGGCGTCAACAGTGATTTCTTATAGCGAGAAAATTCCCAGAAATCTCCAGACGTGATGCTCGAGGACAATCGCCAGTCCCTGGAGAATAGATCGTCGGATGTTAAGCCGGTTTGCACGACAGAGAACCCACATTAGTGGACCCCTGGGTGTTAATGTTTCGTCAGGTAGAAACGGGAAGTGGAACTCGATGTATCGCTAGAAGGGTCGGGGGAGGGAAATGGTCTGCGACCGGCTTTAAAACTAAACGCAGTTAAATCGAGTGTGTTATACGCCGGAACACTGTCGCGTGCAGCTCGGGCATTAACGTGACACGCTTGTAATGTATTCCAGGGTTCCAGGCGTTCTTCGGCTTCTCTGTTTCGTCCCGCGTTGTTACGGGAAACGAGGGAATTTCGCCCCGACGTGGAAATGGCCTGATCGGGGGTGCGCGGGACGAGCCACGAATCGCGTAAACGTCCGCGTGGAAATGGACGTTTCACGGAAACGCGATACCGATCTTGGAAACGGACATTTCTGTTAGGAAAACCGCTGATTTAATTAGAGGCGAGAAGCGGGAAGAGAATTCTTCGGGGCCAATAAATACAAAGCAATGGGAATTTAATTAAGAGAATGCCCGATTTTATTTGAACCTGAATCGATGAATTCAGTTAAACAATGCAATAAGAATTTAATTAATTTTATCAATAGATGGGTCCGGAGGTGTGTATGAGTGAAAATTAATTCCGTTTGTGCGCTGGGTCGAGAATGTTATTCATACTTATTGGAGTTTTGTGATCGATGTAATCAAAGTTTAGGTTAATTTTAGTTTACTGACATCCAGCACGTACATGGATCGCTTATTTTATTATTGCACTGCACCAGAACGGTAAGAATGAAAATATGTACAACTTGCTTGTCAGCTAGCCCCTTCGAAACTCTGCTAAAATAGCTCTCGAAATATGAAACACTCGAGTCTCAGAAAATCCATAAGCAAATTCAGGACTGTCTGCTCTGCGCCACGTCTCATCGAGTCTATCATTGAATAAATTCAAGGAAACACTCCAACCGATCCAATTCGTCCCCCTTGGCTTCCATACTTTCGCACGTGCGCACACACGCCGTCCAGCACCACTCGAAAGGTTCCAGCTGCGAGCGGAAAATTAATTCGGTCAGCAAATACGGGAAGCCCCGGCGTCGATCGTTGGAAACGATGGGAAATGGATAAACGAGAAAATTGTTGCAAGGAACGTTATATATCGCGGCATCGCGAAAAATATGCTCGACGACGCGAAAGAGATACGGGGACGAGCCTAACCGAATCGAAACGCGAGCCAACGAATTGATATTTTGAAGGATGGGGGGAGGACAACGCCTGGATGGCCGGGTGGTCGGAGGTTTCCATGAAATTCGAACAGTTTGTATCTCGTATGCGAAACAGCTGCGTGGCCGTCGTGCATGCATTTCCATTTCCGTGCGCATACCGGCCGCGTGAATACGATCGCTCGTATATTGACTGTGTCGTAAAAAATATGGTAATCGACGATGCTACGCCGGGAAACAACGCGACCGCCTAGACGGCCAACGATATTTCGGGCGCAGTTACCGTTCCTTGTTACCCCGTACGTATTTTCAATTATTGGCCTCCTACGCAACGTGCTACGTTCTATTAAGTTCGTCTATCGAGTCTCATTTCGGTTATGTTTCCGATTTCCAGCGAAAGAGTATTTGGACAGGCAGTTTTTCTCGACTCTTGATGTAAAATAATTTTGATTAAAATGTAACTGTCGTATTTATGTTTTATTAATCCTCGACAAATATTACGGACCCTATTAAAATTCACACGAATATTGTAATTCCTCGATCACATTTATTCCATAGGGATTCAATCATCATACAATCCAACAACCACTTTCGCAGATTTAAATACAAATTTACATTTCATTGTCGCACCTGTATTCCTATTATTAAAATTCACGTGTGTATTACGAGTTTATCGACCTTCAAACAACTCGAGGCTCGCAAGAGACATCCTTTTCAACCCCCACCCGAAGAAAAGACCGGAATAGATCGATTGTTCCAGAAAGCCAGCAAGGAAAAAAAGATCGCGATGCAGGAAGAACGATGAATTCGACGACACATTTTTTTCGGGAAGCGTGACGTTCAATAATCTGCCACCTGTTAGGCTTAAAAGTGTCGTACGTGTCGTTAGGTACAGAGGGGCACGGAAAAATGGCCGACTATAAACAGCGCCGAACGATATATATTCGGAGGCGAGACCGGAGTCGTAAATAACGTCGCCGAAACGAGTCGCGGGAATTTATCGCGCCGATTTTTCCTTGGAACGAAAGCAACTGGGTTTATTTCCGCGATAATAGAACCGAGGTAGCGAACCACGGACGCCTTGAACGCCGAGGGAAGCTAGGCGAAAATCTGTACAAATTGCGTTCGTTCCGTTCGCTCGGTTTGCGCGCAATTGGTCTCGATCGTGATGGATACCCTCGCGAAAATGGTCCAAACCCACCGGAAAAGCGACGTTCAAGACCGCACAACTGGTACATTCGAGCATGAGTATTTTATTAACGCGGCTGCACAGGACGAAGAGGACACTGGGTGCACGCAGCAAGTGTCGAGGTTCTTCGGTTTTTTTTATTTAATTCTGATGGAATATTCGTGAGCGTACTCGCTGGTCAATAAATTGTTATGTTATTTTAGTAAAGTTGTAGCATTGATAGATTCGATAATGGAGGGTGTGAGTAATTTTCGCTGACGCTTTTGGAATTAATTAATTTAGTTTTTCAGTGAAAATCCCTGTCACCCATACATGGTTGTTAAACATTTTTAGGAAATTCTGCACCCCCCACCACCCACCCCCACCCCCGAAATGATCCCCTCCCGTTTGTGAGATCGATCACGGAGAATTCCGACGCGCCAAGGAAGAAATTGCCATCGACGCCCGGCGCCCCTGGAATTTTTATCGAAAGGTCCTGCGAGGCGTCGCGAATAGCTTCCATCGCGGAATTCTCATCTCGGCCTGTCCGCCACCGAGTCAGTTCCCAGGCCGCATAATTTCCATTCCTCCGTTTGTTTAATTATACCCTGCTATCGACCATCTACCTCAGACCGCGTTATCGAGTTCCACCGCTCGTCGATGACTATAGGGAATCGATCAGAGCGATGGAAGTTTTTCTGTAATTCGCTCCGGCTCGTTCGATCGAAAAAACTCCACGCGATGGACAGGGAAAGTTGAAGGGGAATTATGAATCTTGTCAAGGTGAGTTTATAGGTGCACGAGTGCGATAGTAAATTTTATTCATCTCTGGGGATAGTTTTTAAATATTTAGCAAATGTTTCGCGAGAATGGGACAAAAGAATAATAGTACATGAAATTAATTAAAGTGGCCAAGGATCGATAAATTCACGTATAACGAAGAGATGAGGAGGGACATCCCTGCTTTCCGAATTATAAAGAATTCATAATTTTTAAAGAGCAACTACAACTATTGTTACAATTTTAAGGGCCTAGTATCTTGTAACCAACGAAAACGCTGCATGGCTTCTTCTAAAGAAAGAAATCAACCGCGAGATCTTCCAATAATTATTTCGCCTAAACGAAACGCCAAGCCAGGATAAATTTTCCCAAGTCGCTGGCCCACGAGTAAAAGTTCTAACGGGTTGGAACGTGCGCGAACTCGCGCGAATCGAGAAATTTTTATCGGGAACGCGTGACTCGAGCACCTCTCGCCAGCGTTATGCTCGGAATTCAAAAAGACATCCCCCCGTCGCCCGGGATCGACGCGAAACTCCCCCGTTTCTCCTTCTCTGGTACGTCTCTGCTTCGATTCCAAAGTCTACGCGCGCGACGACGTTTCCTGCCAGTCGAGGCTCCCGAGGAATTTTTATTGAACCACCGCCGTCCCCTGGCAGGACGACGTCATTCTCCGGCATCGATTTCGCATCAGGAGTCGCCTGTGTAAAGAACTTGGACGGACAGCCAGTGCCTGAGAGCCTAGACAACTTAATTATGGGACGTTTACCCATCGACGATGGGCTTCGTTCGCCTCCAGCTCCCTTGGCGTCCGCACGACGCCTTTAAAGGACCTTTCCCTCGAGTTTCAGATGGAAAAGCGAACAATGTATTGGACGTAGGCGATTTGCAACAGCTTCGAGGGTGGGCCACCAATGGAGAGCATTTTAGACTCAAGGGATTTGAGAATCGTCCTTCTCGCGAATATAAAATTTCATCGCTTTTCTTTTCAATGGAAATTGTATACACTCGTGGAGATTACTATGGATCGACTGACGTTATTTTGGACTCTTTGGAGGGAGAATATTGGCAACCCAACAGTGAAATAATAAATCACGAAACTGAAGTGTTATTAATAATTCCCACGGTCGAAATGGTTGACCTATTATTTTAGACGCGTACCGTCGAAACTTAAACTTTGCGAAGACGGGAAACAGGGAGAAAAAAATTGATTTCTTTCACTCGAGACACGAAACCCTTAATAAATGCGCGTTCGGGTCGATGCACTGGGAAACGACCACGCTAACTGGGTCACGCGTCGTTTCATAGCGCAGAGCAACTCGCCACGCCGTGAAATTAA